CTCACTGTGCCTGGTTGGAGACACTACAAGATATGGCTGCCAACCGATGTCAGTGGCGTTCTTGTTGTCAGTTTCTATCCAGATTGCCTGAGTAAATGTCTGGAGGCGTAGGTACCTCGGAATGATTGTGTTAAGCTAGCACTAAGTCCCTCTCCCATCCACTTTACTCTTTTCTTTACAATGAGGCCTTCAAATAAGTCATGGTTGTACGGCAGTGAAGCATCGGTGTTGAACACTGATGTCACACTGTCGATGATGATGATTTAGGCTTTAGCAAAAGTAAGAGCAATACTCGAGTCCAGTGCACCCACTATTTGGTGTGAATCAACCAGAATAAGTGGAACTTTCAAGCGAGTTTGACGTGAATACACACAGTGATATTAATCTGTGTGTTTTAAACTCTACCATGCCACAACATATGCTTATAAACTAGTAATGGCTCTTTGATAGATATCATTATACGTCGACGTCCGATAGTTCACTTAGCAAATGCCTTTCCGTTTATTCCATGTTTCAAGCCCAGGGTTCTATTGGTTTCTTTCTATAACAAACACTGGAAATTGCTCCTTCACGCTTGATATCTCCATATCACTACTCCACCTATCCACAACTGGCCAGGACCCAACTTGATTGTTTGAGACAAAGGATCTCACTGTCATATGATGTTGTTTCAATAGTAGTTTGCCGAGAGTACAAAATGTATATATATATATATGTATATTGCTGGCTAACCGATGGCTTTCAGCCGGTAATATCGTACTGTTCTTTATGTTTTCGTGGATTTTTCGGTATCTCATCTAAATAAAAACAACGCTTACCTCGCAGATGATGTTACCTCGCCTCCTCTAGATCAGTCTATTTTACGTTCGGTAGAACGTCCTTCGTGAGCTGTGAATTCACTACCTCCATACTGGTGTGTAGTGTAGTAACTTCACTACAGAAGATCTACCGGCTTCATGCGTTTAATATAGCCGTGGAAGACCATGAGAATGAACAGTCTGGAATCATGGCTTTTAAACAAGACCTCAAATCCCTTCCATTAGTTCACTGGACATTGTAGAATATCAGCGATTGTATAGAGTTGACACTGTAGGCAACCAAGAGTCTTTGGTTTGGGCTCATCCTCAAGTAGTATTTTAGTTCGTATTTCGTGTGACCGGATTTCTCATTTAAAAATCTACAGGATGTTTTTATTCCTCAAACGTTCGTGGTCTATGAAGGGAGTCAATGAATCCTTAAAACATGCGGCACTACTGGTCCGAGAAACTTGGAATCACCCAGCCTTTTTCCATCTTCAACCCCAATCTGATTTACTTCCCCTAATGACTATTTCCCTTAAACGTCTGTAAGGTCTTTAGTCTTTAGAATCTGGGTCATATGACCTTCAAAATGTTAGTACAAGTAAGGACATCAGTATTCTAAGAGGAATAAAAGCCTGAGGACTGGTCATTTGTAGTGTGAGAAATTACAATGTTCAGATTGCTTGAATGAGCTCCAAAATAGCATCAGGAGATGAAGTTTGCCTTCCTACAGTTTTTAGTCTCTGTTCCGTAATTTATCTGATATAGTTTATCAACTGTAATGTGAGTGAAACCTTGATGAATGCCCATTACCTGATGACATCATTTTAGGCTCATCGCTTAAGTAGTTACCGAATTTCCAGCTCTAATTCTGAATCAGTGTTGTCCATGGTGTGGTCGCATGTTCTGTTGAGGTGTACCATAAATAGCATATAGCATAGCATAAACTTTCTTAGTTTGTAAATGAGTATTTAACTCCGGAAGACCACCAGATCAGATTTATTCGCCGGCTTGGCGCAAACGGCGAAATAGCATATCGTAAAACGCACTCTTAACAATACGGTGACAACATTTTCCCTAGCGGCTGCCCCTTTATAGTTTGGTGTAAATCTGCTGAAATATTCAGGACCTACGTCAACTCAAGCGCCCAGGGTCAAAAATCACTATTCAACAGGCTAGAGGTGGTAAACAGTGGTTTAAAACTGTGCACTAGAGCTTGGCTGACAAAGTATCGAGGAAAAATCGTGGGCTATTTGGAAATAATCCTTTGCTCAGATAAGCTATTGACAGTGAGACACATTCTCATTGAGCAGGAGGGTTCAGAATTAGGTTTTCCACCAGGAATATTTGTATACATTCGCTGTGTCCTACACAAATGCGGAATATAAATGAGAAGTTCGCTCACTAAGTTAAAGCCACTTCGAATGTTTGCACTTTCCGGCAGTATACTTATGAATGGCATACTTTGCTAGACTATTGACCAATTTACTAAAATTGGAACCGGATAGCACATTATTGCCATGTGGTGCTTTAATATTTTTGATGACAATATATAAGTATGTCAGCAGTGTTTTAATAAGTTTTGGATTTGTATTAATCTCGTTTGTACAGTTCGCCTGTTATCCTCGTGCGGTTTCTCTGGTGAATCTCCATCAAGAAGTCGAAACATCAGACTGTTAAAGCTATTCAACAGTACACATCTGTCATACCGGAATTTGTGTCACCGACATCTGACATGCAGGGCAAGAACATATTAAATGCGCCTCAATTATCAGGCGGTCCGATCTTTTGTCAGAACTTCGAACCGTTTCAGTGTGATGAATGCTTGAAACCCGCTGTACAAGTTAGGTTATTTGTAGGTAGTTGCAGACATTGTAGAATTCTCATTCAGACCGACCCTCTCGTGTCATCCAGTTTACACCAGTGGCATTGCCTTTCAGATATCCGAAGTGCTAATCTCCATGAGGTTAAGGACAAGCACTACTACTGAGCTTTATTAGAAAGAAAACACTAGTTCAATGCTTCCATTGTTTGTTAAGGGCTCACCGAAACCATTCCGCAAGAGAGAAAGAGAACAAACATGGGTGGTACGAAAGTAACTTCTATGGATCCTAAAACTACCTGTAATCCGTTCAATATGTCTCACCCTTATTAAAATTTCACATGAAAAATCCACGCTTACCTTTAGACAAAAAACGGGTGGCGTAAAACAATTTTTCAGATTTAATCGTTTTAAAAAGTTTCAACTGTTATTGGTGTGTTGTCAACCTTTAACATACATATTTGTACAATATTAGGCTTGTTTGAATACCTGGTCCATATCCATAAACACTGGGTGTGAAACATGCTCTGCCGACGTGAGTTGTGACTATTTTTTTAGAGGGACGCCAATTGTGAAGGTTTGGTTGGCATTGATTTCCGACTAACATGCTACAAGGAGTCTAAGTTTCTTTTTCAACCAGGATATTGGACACGTGGTGACAAAGCCGACCAGGAATGTAAAGATGGATGGATCCCCCTGTGTTGCTTAAGGTGACCGAAATTGAGATCCCTATGTTCTGTCGCTATTTCAAACTCGAGCTGCTAATTCATGTAATCAGTTATTTTGAAAGGCTGTTCTTTGTTCACACGCCAAAAATTAGAATAATCAGAGAGCGTGATGGTCGCTTCCGTACTCAGCGAACGTCAGAATCGGCATCTGCATTCTTGGCACAAAAAAGAGTGCTGAACACGCGCGTTTCACTATTCAAAATATAACAAATCCTATTCTGAAAAATTTCTAAGGCCCTTTATCTGTGACGAGCCGCAGAAAAAAATCCCCATTGTTTTTGCGCTATTGTTTGTATACATTTCGCTGCAGCGTGGCAGGTGTGCTCCGCGTACACAGGATCGATAGTACCATCAGCTTCGTGACTTACAAGAATGTGCTTGCGAATTCGCAAATTCGAAGTTATTTTCGATGGGTCCTCAGTGACATTGTTTAATGCTTACTTGGTGGTGGGAACTTCAAGTCAACAACACGAAACAGTAGAGGTAATGACCCTGAGTGAGCTGCTTTGGCCATGAAATGGGTATATGGTTGACCTGTTACCAATATCCGTCACATCGTATTATTTCGCGATCAGGCATGTCCAACACTGACGTGGAGTTCGCTCAAGCCCCAAAAGCAATATAAACGGTAATAAGTTGGAATAATATAACCCAGAAGAGAGACTGAAACGGAATAACGGGGCATAATATGCCCAAAAAGGTGTTGGGTAGCTTGAAAATAGTCCTTCGAATGCTATTGTGAACACTTCGGATCGAACATTCAGGCTGATGTTTTCCGAATGATCACCCTATTCAGCTCATTCGTTTCATGTCATCAGTCAATCAGGTGATACACATACGTTTTCGTTAGTCTCAAGAACTTTGATTAGGGGCATTTTGGCTTGCGACTTTTCATTTTTTCGTAAGCTGTCGGAATGTATAAGCTTTTGCCTTCCCAACCATTAATGAAGGCGGTTTCGCGTCACTGCAGCTTTCCGTCCGATGCGTCCTCGCTAGAAGTGCCAGCCAACACGTCAGCACGAAGTGTGAATTGCGAAGGAGTTGGCCCTATGGCTGATTACCCATTTATTGTCGAATGCTGTTAAATGCATTTCGCCCCTCTCATTCAGGAAAAGGCACGCGGTGGATTGCTTCCCAAGACCGACTAACTCTCCTTTATATCTGAATGCAATATTGGTTCATCTTGCAGTAACCTCGGATTTTTCAGGGTTGATTTCACAAACACTTATCCAAGCCTCAAAATGTCCAATAGTACAGACAGTTTTTCGAGATAACTGAAATTCCTAAGAACAATCCAGCATTCTGCTGTATATCTCACCAGCCTTATAGTATAACTTAAGAAAATTGCGTTTAGAAGCGAATTCCGTCTACACGATTTTTCTTTGGCTAACACCCTGGAAAGTTAAAGTATGTTTCGTTTCATCCTCCAACACATCAATATTGTCCTTTTTTAATATTACATTTTACGAAATTCCGGATTTATTTTTTCCAGTAAAAGACTAGCCAAGATGTTGGTACGTTTTTTGATTCTCTATCCGCCATAGATTTTATAACGATTTGGCTGTTTTAAGCATGACTGTGGGAGCCTATATTCGTGAAGCATCTTCAATCTCCTCTAATGTGCAGTTCAGATGAGGGCTCGGTCATGCTCCAGTCTTCTACTCACTATACACACGTCGACAAGCGATCTAACTGCTTCTAATGTCTTAGTTGCATTTTAATCGTCTTGTCTAAAGTCCAACTTTCAGAGGTTGATCGGATAAGGCCACTATCCGACTGAGCATGAAGAAACTGAGCGAGAAACCCCACAGGAGCATTAGACCATCGATCACTCAGGGGCAAAGACAGAAAATTTCAGGCAGCTAGTGTTTCTTCGAAATCTCACTCAGTCCTGATACTTAAGATACCATTATCCTCTACCAAGTAAAGCTCCTCAAATCTGTCCATTGTTGCTCCGTTCAACCCAAGGCCCAGATTGCGGTTTACTTTTCCATATCGAAATTTTCGTCCAAGCGTTTTGAAACTTTCCCATACGCATTGCATGTGACTGATACCCAATCATCTTGATGAAATCTGCATTCATCCTGCAGAGCGGAGAATTCCAAAAGCGATCCTCACGAAACCTATCCTCAATTAACCCCATGTCCAAACCAACATTCTTAATACCTGTTGTTTCGCGATGCTCCCCTTGAAGTTCACTATTAGTGACATGTTTTCGTACCACTATGTTGAGAGAAGCACACCCATAGATATCACTGTTTGGTGACACAATACGTCTAAGCACTCGACAAATATAGAGAATGTTTCCGAGAGTTCTGCGTAATAAATGTAAGAACCGACCAAATCCCATAAAACTCAGACGCTAATCCTCTAGAAAATGCAGAATTCTAGTAATGGCTGAAGTTCTCGGACTCATCAAACGACTGTACCAAATGCTATTCCTTAAACGCTGATCGGTTGTATCATTTAAAGCAGCCGGTTTAATCGATACCAAATCGTTGTACCATATTAACACCCACTTACAGCCTCTAGCCTAATTTGCCCGGTCGATAACTGTGTTGTTCAAAACACATCTATGATCACAGTTTGTTTTCAGAAACTTTTTAATGTCCTTCAGGTGAACGGATAGATCCAGGGCTTCATTCATGGTTTTGAAATCTATCTATATCCTTGGGTTCAACAGTAACATGAACGTTTAACCCATTTCTATCTCATGGCAATGGATCTGTACATAACAAGCCTGGCTTTTTGAATTCCCATCTGATAGTTTAGGTGATTATCAATCATCTAGTTATTTGCTGAATTGTTTCTACGTTAGATTGTCAATTTGCGAGTGACATACACCCATCAGTCATTCAACGCGTGCGCTGAAAATTTGCTGATGCAATTGGAGACTGATGACAGGCAGTGAAAGTTTTTGCTGTAGCTGGAAATCGACTGCATTTTACTGTGTACTTTGGTGCTCAAAGATTTGTCATCATGTTCATTAACACAAATATCAACATCATCAACAACCTGAAGTTTCTTAGGTAAAAGCTCTCCTAACCAATTAGTTTAACGCCCCATATTTCACGGCATTGATGTATGTTATTTACCGACTGGTAACCAAACAAGCGAATATAAACTAACAGCAAACGGGAAGTTGCTTTGATGAGTCAAGACCTAGGGGTTCGTTTTTGATATATTAAGTTCAAATGCTTGTCCATTTCTATTCTTTCCATTTGAATGTAATATTGACAAGCAATTCCAATTATTAGGCTTACTATTTTCGTGTTTGTCATGAGAGTCTCAAGAAATCAGAGTAAGCTTTTGACATGCTTAGCTTAGTAACCAGTCCTCTGAATACTTATTGACGGTAGCCGGAAAAGTGATCTGAAGAATACAAAACCTTGTGTATTTTTCTACTTATCACCATCTACAACTTGGTTTCTTCTGGACGTTACGCTTGATTTTTTATTGACTTTCTCCCCCACAGAATGGTTACCCTGAAACCTACGCAACATACCTCAATGCTCTTGTGGCATTTGTCTACCCTTACGACATTCGTGTTCACGTACAGGATACAAATTATGAATGCATCCCGAGTGGTGGCAATGCATCAATACAGCAAAACCGCCGACCCGACCTAATGACTAGTGCGTGCTTTTTTGATCTGAAGTGGTCTTACCGATGTAATGTCAACCGCCAATTCGGCTACGATGACAGTTCGCCATGTGTTATCTTAACCCTGAACCGAATCTACGGATGGCTACCATCATCTTCGGACGGGGTTCAAGTGTGCTGTCAGGGGGCAAGCCCAAACGATGACGATCTTCTCGGCACTTTGTGCTTCTATGATGCGCTCATCCATGACGAAGGTGGATGTGCACGACGCTGTGGGACGTTTCCTCATCAGTATTATCCCTACCTGAACCAAAATTCTTATCAGTCACCGCTTGTCTTTCTCGAAATACGAAATCCTAGAAAAAATGTCCTCATTCGTATTCAGTGTGAAATAAACAATACACCAAACCGCTCGCCAGTCACATTTGAGTTACTGATCGATTAATACCACGCAATCCTCACTGACCATGGAAGTCATGTACAAATTGTTGTCAGTCTGAAAAACTTAGACTAAGCTGTGAAGAGTCTTATTGCTGCAGTATTACTTTCAAGATAATATATTTATTGGCTAATTGTGTGATACACTTTGAAAGCTTCAAGGTATTTCTGTAGGTGCATTACATAGTAAATATTTTATACTTGTTCATTTGTTAAATTGCACCAAGATCAAATGAATCCAGTTCAGTTCTCTGACTATCGACAAACAAATTTATCTCTGTCACCCGGTTCAAGTGTCTTTGAATAACCTCCTCCTGATTCAGGTTTGCAATCAGTTGTTCGCACCAGGCACGAGCCCGTTTCTGGATTCTTTCTTCACACATCTCGATTCTGATGGCTTGGTTTTCTTTTGATTGTGCTAAGCAGTTCGCCATTGTTTCACGATCGGGAAACAAAAGCTATTGAATCGGAAAAATCGGAATGTGTATTTTAAATATATTTCCTGAGAGACGTGTCAAGGTTATCTTAAACCAAGTCAACGGCCAAAAACGCAAAACGTTCTAACCATCATCAATTGAGCTAATAATCAAGGCTTCATGTAAGCATTCTTAAAAACATTATTCCGCAAATATTATTCCTCACATAAAACGACAGATAGAATAAAAATATTTCTGTAGGATACTGTATTGAATCAGAAAGTAGATATCTGCCTAATTATTATTTGGCCGAAGGTCGATGAGAAACATATTTGAGTATCTTAGATGGGAGTAAATCTCTACCCAACGGGATGAAGTTCTGCTACTCAGCTTTGGCCTTGATGCATCTGGCTAAAAGCTATCTTTTCAAGCAAGATACTAAAATGAAAACGGATTCATCAATATGATTGCTTTTATTGTGTACAGTAAGAGTACCTAGAGATATGACTTAACCCCTTAAATTAATGATAATGCTAAATGTGAAGCCATATCATCACCAGAAATATCCACTTCCAATCGTGTTTGCTTGGTCAACAACTGTTAGGGGAGGGGTGACATATCATCGGTTTTCAAAGGTATGTTGGTTGTAGTTTTCTGTTCATTTGCACTGAGTTGTACCGTAAACAAAGCCGAAGGGTTTTGGTTCGACCTTTATCCTTCTACCAAATTTGTGCTCCTTTCAAGAATGCACTTCACAATACCATATTTTGAACTCAAAACCTTCCACACCCATTTGAGATTTACTGGCTGCGTAAACGCGTTGGCGTACTGTGGTCCTAAATAGCTCATGATGGATGTTTTCCGGTATGTGATTCCGGTCCGAAAACAAACCAGTTAGCTTCCACTTCACTCAGCCGCGGAGCTATGGAATCAAATCCATAGTTTATGAACTATTTTCTTCATGGATGTGAAGTTACCACCAGAAGCGGTTTGCTCAATATTGCCGTATGAAAAATCATGCGAATCCTTCCTTCAATCATTATGTGGAAAGCGGTGGCTCGATGCGTGTGAGACATCTGCATATAGGTAAACCAGCATTGCTTGTGCAGAGCAGAAATCAGATCTTGGTTGTGAGAACTTACTTGCTCCGCCTCTTGGGGGTCAGCCTTTCCCAAACGCTCCGCGTAAGGAAGTGTCGCTTCCACCAAGCGGTCATGAAAGTTGTTCGCTGCCTCCCTACACTTTGACAGGTAATTCTGTAGTCGGGCGTAAAGAAATGTTGTTTAGCGTTATACACAGAGTGGAAAGACATACTGGTGATGGATTACACGAACAGGTTCAAAAATAACGGAAAAAATAAAGCCCTTATTTCGATACAGTTGGCTGGTGGGGATTTTTAATCGACTGAGACGTGAATGCTTTGTTTGCTCCAGTTCATAATCGTGTGGATCAAAAACTGATCATCGCTAAGATCTGCTACTGGAGGAAATATTAGTGGCTTGGATGGTTTTTCTGTCCGGCTGGTTAACAAGCCATCCGATAATGCTGCAACAAGTCGTCATGTGCGAAGGTCAGTCCAGGATAGCATTAAGTATGGAAAAGTATGTATGCTGGTGGTCGTTGGCTTGTCCGCTGAGCTCGGCAATTTGATTGCAAACGTTTCATCACCAATCGAGGTGACATCATCAGTGCGTTATTGTGGAGCGTAGTAGTGCGTAGCGTAGTAGAGTAGCTACTACCATCTAGGCTACCTGAGCTACCGACATTTCCCTCTATAGAAGTATGTATGCAAATTCTCAGTAAATTTACACCAACTCACAGTACCGTTGCGCTTCACAACGACGCACTTACCATAGCATCTTCAGTGGTATGCAAATGTTCAAACATTCACTGCTCAGCCCAGCGAACGAAACATCAACCAAATCGCTGCAGGATACCGAACTTTCCTACGCGACTCCATTGCTTTTCGAAACGGAAGTAATACTTTAGATAACCTTGCACTGAGCCAAAAATAGGAATCATATCTATGAATTATTCTTTTCTATAACCCTGGATACTTCCTGCTGGTGCCAAAACTTTCTTCAGCATCTCAGATATTCGTGAAGCGGAATTTCATATTCTAGATACTCACTAACCTACTTTCTTCAACTACGTATCTTAAGTTTTAAGTACGCGCTAAGTGATCTCCATCGACGTGCACAAAAATCGGATTTTAGTATTATCTGGACAAACTGACCGGCGTCTATAAAAAGTAGCAAAGCAAAAAAGCATGGTACGCTACTGTAGTCTTCAACAGGTCGGTAAATTTTTCTTTGCACTGAATTAATCAAGGAAGCATGTGCACTAAAATATAACAGAAACAGGCCATTTTACTTCCTTTACTGGCCTTGATATCAACCGCGATATGCCCCAACAAGCATCCAGATATATCCTGAAGTAAACTTTGAATATCCCAATGAGTGTGTAATTCTTGGAGCTGAGTTTGTCAGAACTCAGCAACACTTATGTTATTTCTTAAATTTGCTTTAAATTTTCGTCGGTACCTCTTGATGGTTTTGTCTCAACGTCTCTGTTCTCACACTGACACATCTCGAAATTTCTTTTGACGAATTCTGTAACGTACATGACACAAAGGTTCACTTGTTTCCGACCATTTGCTGAGGGTGTTACACAAACTGTTCCGCGAAACAGGTACGCTGCTATCTTTCTCCGTGGATACGCATGATCTCACCACAGCCTAACCAAACTAAATTTCAGCTTGGTTGACCGCTGTTAACCGTTTACTTAGAAGGATTCCGGATATTCAGCTGAGGTGGACCATCCTCCGTTTAGAGCCAGTTGCTGTTTTGTACACAAGTAAAAGCCTCGGACAGAAAATGAATAAATATTCTCGTTTCTTCTATCGCTGACACTATTTTAGAGCTATTTGTATCAGGCTATTAGGAATCTGAGGAAGGTTCATAAATGTGTTTGCAAATGGACACCATCCGCCTTCTATGAGAGATCAAGAGGAGGACCGCAAAATGAGTTGCTAGTTAATATTCGACAAGTATAAGATCCACAAGGTCATTATACGGTTCTGCGCAGGATGTAAAGCCCTACTTGAAAAAATGAGTGGGGCGGTGTTAAAATAAAAAAGATATACTCGTTACATTTTGTGTAAAATTCACCTGTTTACAGCAAAGTTGAGGGCTGCAAAACCAATTTCAATTCTCAAGGCAACGGTTTGCAGTAGATAACATTTATCAACGCACCCTATGGTTACGCATTTTAAGTTTTTAAGACCTTTTGAAAACAATATGTTTTCTTGCCCTTTTACCTTTGTTGAACAGTTTTCGACCGTTTGCATTTATACAACTCGGAAAAGATATATCCGCTATTGACATCCAGATGGTTCTCTCATAGTACGACGTATACTTCACCCAGAATCATGCAAATTCGAACCTACAGCACGACGGGTTTTCACATTTTACACTAACCAGGGAGCTTTCAGCAACTTTCTTTTGACTACTCCTCAGGAAGTACACCGCATCTACAAGCCACAAGAAAGCATGTCTTCACGTCTTCTGGCAAGTCATCCGTTCACTACCATTCAGACAAACGTTTCTCGCCAACTTTAGGCCTTGTTAATCATTGTTTAGTGTACTAATAGTTTCACAGATTGGAGCAAGTCGAGAGTCAACAAGAGTAGTGATAAACTATTGTTACACAACTTAGTACTGAGTTTAAATTGAATGAGAAACAGAACCAGCGGGTTGTTTGATCCTAAAACATCACAATGCTAAGCGATTTTATGACCTTAGAGCCGAACTTACTTCACTGATTATATTTATCACAACGCTGGTTTTACTGGTTCTATTTTTTATTGGCCCTAAGAGTCCTAGTGACTAAGCGCACGGTCGTTTCAACTTTCTCTGTCACTGGAACGAATTAGCAACATGAACCTCGGTCGTTTCGTGATTTGAATTTTATACCTTCGCAAGTGTTTTACCACTACTCTACCGGCGCACTCAAATGCGACTAAGTTTACACCTCGGTAGGCAACAAGTAGCATTTTTAATGATACTACCGGTTTGTCTGAGGCTCTGACCGACAACCACAAAATCGTGTGCGACTTAAGAAATACACGACTAGCCAACTATTCTCATATGCGTATGAATTTGGCTTCAGCAAGCAACCCAACTGAATCGTTTGTTTGTAATATTATTTACCTGAGTCCCCGTTAAGACCAAATTAATGTGCCCTGGATAGAACTTGGAGAGTTTATTACTAATTAGGTTCAAGTAGAACATAATGTTAACATAAACTCGGGGACTAGGCCTACCTGATGAGATCCAAGATGGGCGAAACCCTTCATGTTGGATGTTGCAGAGTTTTCAGTAAATTTTCATTATCAGTATTAAGAGAGCAAGGAGATTACTAGGAAGACTGAATGTAGGGTTATAAACAAATAGTTACACACTGCATAAGCACTAAGTGGACATGGTATATATTCAGCCTAATCTTAATGATGGACTGTTTTATCTTATTATTCCATAATATCCTTCAAGACTGTCGAGCTAATTGGAGTAGGAAGTTCTTAAACAGTCATGTATCTAGCAGCACATAAATGGCCCGGGCTCTGTGTTGAAAAAAATTCAGGCCATTTTTCAGCTTTCTTGCCTACCGAAATATGTGGCATTGTACATGAAAGAAACTACTGTCATATGATACTTATAGCTAAATGCTCGTTTATGAGTAAACAAGCTCATTTGGGGGCAAAGACGTGGTTATTACACAGGTCTATGTCACGTACAGACAATGTTTGCTCTGAAAGCTTTGCTTATCCCGATGTTAGCTTCTAGACACAGCAGAAAACCCGTTCTTTGGAGTTTGCATGAACATTTTGTGTCACAGAAACGTAAAATATTCGGAGACTGCCTTTCCAGTCAATGTACATTAAAATAATCAAATTTGCTCTCGATAGAGTTCATGAATAATGCTGGAATAGCAATCCCCTGTAAGTTGTGTTGCTTGCTTAAACCAAAGATTATCTTGGTCAGACACGTTCGGTGTTTGTAATGCGATCAAAACACACCCTCCAGTTTTGTGAACTGGACGTATTCAATAGCCATTATGGTGACTATTTATGCTTGACATGTTGGAGATCTCCCAGCAATTGTCTTGCTTGTGTCTAGTCTCCCATCGTGAATTAGAATGTTCACTGACTTTTTCGGTCCAATCAAGTTAGTAGCCTTTTTGCGTGATGGCCATACAGTATATGGACAATAAAGATAAATTATTTACCTAATTTTGTCCTAAAACCGAAAAGCATTTCGTCTTGTCTCAACCAGTTCACAAGAATAGCCGTTTGATGTGTAGCAACTGTTCATTATTCGCCCTTCAGATGAGGAAAATAGACTATAATCTGCTCAGTCTGTGTCAATACTTTTCTCACGCTGTGCACAACCAGGTGATGTAAAACACTTCTTAATTAAGTTTCTCTCAAATCAATGTCATGTTCAATTAGGGGATGGACGGGCTGACGATTAGTGCGCGACTTACTCTTCATGCGTTTGAGATTCTGATTTGCGAATTCCAAATGTTTTTATTTCGTGAGTTGAAGCACATGTTTCATGACAGATAAATGACGAATGGATTTGGCGCTGAACACCTTGTTACTTGGTGAGTTATGTGTGGAATGGAGAAGAATTAAATCTTATTTTAAACTCAGTTGATTTCAGTCGACTATACTCCAGACAAAATTACTCCTACTTTGCAAAATTTCAGCCTTGAAAAATATGCTTCTTTAATTTTCCTGTGTTGAATTCATTTGACGAGGTTACTGAAAAGCGCCCTGGTCGTTTAATGTTGCCAACCATGTGCTCAAGTACATTTTGAGATCACTTGAAATTTTGCTTAATTCCTTTGCGAGGCCTACAAAGCGGAATTATCACCTGCAATTTCGAGTGTTGTTCATCTCCAGTGCTCAGCTATTTAACGACCGCTCCTTCGCTGTCAGTTATGCATTTTTCTGCCGTAAGTACTGTACAAAGTTAGAATAGTTAGTTTCATGGAACCAAATTTTGAATCCGTAGGGAACGGCCATCCCTGCTGGCAACAAGTTAGATTGAAAGAAACCAAGGGTCTTATTAGGGAAACCAGTATATATTGTACGCGTTACTTGTATCTTTGCACAGATATATTAATTACCCAATACGTAGTCTTACTCGTCTAATTATCGCGGCGCAAAATTATTCACATTCTCATCCAATACAATTGAGGACACTTTCCGATTCAGTGAAATCATTCGTTAGATCTGCGAATCCAGCTTCCGGTGCAGCACTGCGGACTCATCACAATTCCGGAGTACACCATACCAAACGATTTTACATTCATCAACAAGTTTGTGTTTTTCATCTGCATCTCATAATGAACCAACTTTTGTTTTACAATGTATGTGTTTGTAAACTCAATCTGATAAATGACTTCAAAATCACCTTAGGTCTAAAACAATCGGTTTGTGGGCAGGCCTGATTTTCTGAATTACTAAAAATAGAATATTTTTGACATTTTCGCTTCTATTGTCTCAGAATCACACACTAGAAGGCAGAGAAAAGGAACCGATTCACGAATTTTGAAATGACTGACATGAAGATATTTCTGTATATTTTTGTATTGCGCAAAATATCTTTTCAAGATCCAGAAAGTGACCAGCCTAACTGTGGATACTCTTGCCTTAAAGGAGTATGTTCTGCACTGTAGCGACCGAGTTGTTTCCTACTGCACGAGCATAGATGGTACCGCATGCAAAAGGATGTAAGCCAGCAATGTGTCGAAACATTGTTGGCCCCGATGCGTGTACGTAACCATCGTGGAGGGGCGCTAAACAAAACCTCGCCATTTTGAAGATGGAGATTATACTACAGAACTGGAGCCACGTAGACAGATTTAGGGAAAACTCAAACCTATCTTAATAATGCTACGTCCTAATAGCAGGCTGAGTGAATAATAATGAACTACGTGGTTCCTCACAAAGTCACAACCAAACCGTTTACTAATTAAAGGACGTGAAGTACTTGGCGAAATACACTCATTTACGAAACAAAATTGTTTTTACGGGATACCCACCTGAAACCCAGCTAAATCTCTCGTTTATGATGTTTCAAAACAACTGAATGTGCTGCACTTGGTCACCTCATGCTTCAATTGGTACTATATTTGAGATGTCGTGGTACATGTATATACGTAATGCACTACTCATAACGTTGCTGAAAATTCTTCGAATCGAAGGGACAACCGATAAAGACTTGGTTGTGATAAAAAAAGGTCAAGCAGAATGCATTTAAACGAAATCTGCCTTAAAAATATTCTATCTGGATAGCTTTGTAACTATAACACCTCCAAGCGTCAGGCACAGATGAATAGTTTTGTCCTTCAGATTTACCAAGGAAGCACTTTTTCCTAAGCCTTCTTCTAAAACGTCCTTTGCCCCTAAATCAGCTGTTCCTAACCTGAGTTTCGCTCGTAAACGCGGTAGCGCGACCGTTTATATTGGATGCATGCAGGACTGTTGTTGGTTATTTCGCTGAGTTTCAAAGCAACTATTTTGCAAAATAAGTCAAAGAACTTAAATGTACCTCACGGTTGATTTGCCATGTGTGAAAACGTTAAACTCGGACGCGTTGAGTTGCAACTGTCAGCTTTATTAAAAGGCATGAAAGCATCATTGCCCAGTAACAGGTTGCATAACGATATCTCACTTGAGTATTCTCCAAAAAGAAAGCGACCATTTCGTGAATATTTCGGCCAAAATCAGTGCAAACCTCTTCGATTTGCTCGGAAATTACCATTTCATTCGCCATTAGTTGATCCCACAATTCATGAATCTTCTCACGGTAGGCCGCAAAGATGTCTTCTATAATGGTGGTTTGTGTTTCCGGTACAGCTTCTAGCCTCTGGAGTGCCTAAATTAGGTTTCACAGGGAGCGAAAAATGACGTGACATCAGCGAGCGAAATATAGTATAATAATATAGTATATACTCCTTTACTGAGCTTATTCTGCCATTTCTCATAACTAGCGAGGGGACATTTAAGTTAAGTCTTCGGTACAGTGAAATGCCAAGCGTTTTTCAGAAATTCGAGCGATTGTGCGCATTGTGCTGCTAGTATAGATCCCTTTCTATCAAGCACACTTAGTTACACAAATCAACAACAACCTGTGAGGGAGTACTACAGACACCCCTCAATTGTGCTTGCTTCGTTTTGCTTCCCACAAGGAGCTGAGAACAGTAAAAATAATCTAGCAGTTAAAGACTTCCAAGATCAAGAATCCTGCTCGGCCTTCCTTGCAAATTACGAGAGGACATCAGTGAGTATGGCCGTTCTGTTCTTGCAATAAACCAGAGCACTGCGGCCTAAACTTTCTCCGCATCGTTGGATTTTTCCAAGGAGACAAAAAAAGCTTTCTGCGTCATGAACTATTCCATGTACATCTGAATGGACACATCTTACAATTTATGGAGCAGATCAAAGTGCCATTCAGAAAGCAAAATAAACCCAAGCTCTCGAGGGCACTGCATTTTACCGCGAGAAGAAATGAAGGCTTTATATTGTCTCTCCGAGCAACAGAAGCACAGAAATTTCAAATAATTTTGATTCTGATTTATAACTTTATCACGGAACGCACAATGGCTTTGACGTTACTTTCGGTCACTAATGGCGTTTTTTACTTAAGTGTTAACAACCTGTTTACCAATCAAATATTTTCAGCCTGTTCTGCCTTTGGCATAGCCAACCAACACTCCACAGCAGACGGTCCTAAGCTGTGCTGTTGTTGGAGCCTGTGGATAGGCAATTTAATGCATTGCCCTGAAAAACCCACACCAAGTATTCATCCGTAAATGTTTTTAGGGAAGAGCCGTTCCGTTTCCCTATCAAATTCCCGCAAGATAGCTGTTCAGACGTGAAAATTTCTATGTATCCAACGTGTATTGGTGGAGTGCTGATGACGCACTCGACTCGCATGCCAGATGTCCGGGGTTCAAATCCCGGCACGGCCATTGGATGTGCATTGCTGATTCTTTTTAATTAGAGCGAAGCTCGGGTTCAGTGCTTCCCTTTGGTGTGCACTCACCAGGATGAGTATGCCAGGACAGGAGGACGACCGTTCAAACGATAATGGTGCGAATGCAAACAAAATACATATCCAGCAAAACCCCAACTGAAATGACATTTGCTGTTAGAGGTATAATGTTCGTGACTATTATCGCCTGATAAAATTGCCAGATAAAATTTCTTTCTGCAGTGCTTAGGAGTTGCACCAAAATGAGCAGGGGCCAGTTGCATATGATCTTTACGGACCAAATGATTATTCCTGACCTACTAGATCATTTCTAGCGCTCTTCTGGCCTTCCAAAAATGCTTTGTTTTTTTTTTAATTTAACAGGAACAATTTGTGATACTATAATTCTCCATCTGGTCTAGCATCAAGAGGAGGGCAGTTCACCCACGACCATAATGCCAATCTTTTACCACCACTCACCTATTTCTTGCTTTCTTTTTTCTTGCAGGACGTGCCATGTTAAGAAAGGGAAAAACTGTCAGAAATAGCACTAATGGTAAATGTGAATCCACAAACCCTGTATCATCCACACGCTCCAATAAATAACAGCTCACATTCTGTTTATAATCCATAAATTCTCGAATCAACTTCATTCCGGCTTTTCGATCAGCCACCTTGACCTCCCGAATCGCTCCTCTTAAGCAATCTTCCTCCTGTTGGCGCTTTGCATACTCCTCCAGGCCGAAGTGAAAGAGCATACGAGAGCTGTCAGCCAACTTGTCGCGAAATGTGTAGTTTTAGTAGACTGGAGTAAGTGAAGGTGAAGCGGCATTTTCGACAAGCAACAAGGTCTGCCTCTTGGAGCAAACTCCAAAGTGACTTTGACAAAATATGTCCTGTATTTGCCGACAATTTATTATTCAGTTGTTCTCACATCAGTATTCATCGGGCCATAGTGCACATCTCAGAGATTTCGGTAATACTGATCATGTTTGTGTAATAATTCACTAAAGTTTTTGGCGATTCACCCGAAAACTGGGAGTATTAATGACAATGAATGGTGCGGAATCGGAAATTGGCTAAACGCAGTATACTTTAAGCATATATTTCTAAGTTAGCTTTCTTCCAATGACCCAAATATTCATCCTCAAACCTCAGCGAAAGATTTGTTAACATAGATCTGCCTTTCGGAACTTTTATTCTTAGTTCGAGACAATTCCGTTTCAGTGGCGAATAACGCAAAGTTCATACCTATTAGAAGTTTCTTTAGTACTTTTCACCATGTCCGCCGGCAGAGGCAGTTGCAGCAATAAGTTTGTATTTTTCTCGTTCCTCTCAAAAATTTGCGAAAGCATAATTTGCAAAATGTGCTCTCCTGTCTTTATTCTATTTGGTTATGTAAAGTTGTTGATGAAGTTCTGTAGAAATAGCCTGCACTGTCCTGGGTAAAACAACCAACCAGTTTTACCCAGGGTGTCCAACTTTAATTTACTTCTTATAAATGAGAGGGTGAATTTCTACTTATCGTCCTTTGGGCCACCAGAATAAGCGGACCCCTAATATGGAATGATTTTTGTTTTTTTCCTTTGATCATGCTCTAATGGACTAGTCTTTATTTCCGTAATACCAGTCTCCAACTTTTTTCACAATATAGTAATGAATACTTGAGTTACTTCACCTCTTTTTAGAGTCAGACCTCTAAAAGGGAACCGGATGAGAATGAAGAGTTGTCCCCGACCAACTCAAAGTTTACCAAAGGAACACTTTACCAAACTACGATTTGGAATGAGGCATCACAATTTCAGGAGCGGTCTGGCTATCTTAGCTGGCTGGTAATTTTACACGAACCGCGTATGTGCGCACACTATGCAGCTTTCTTCGGGTGAAGCTGTGCATTGAGTGCTTAGTCTATAATGGTTTTATGCAAAGGGTGGCGTTGTTTCACCATTCATTCAGCTAACTTTGCTTGTCCATCTTCACATCTTGGCTGCTGTGTCCCATCCACAGCGTTCGGCTAGGTAGGTTTCTGGGACAAAAGTGCTCGAATTTGAATTTGTCAGTATAGGGATACCTGGCTAATTGGTCAGAGCAGTCCTATAGATCTAAACTCAAAAAAGCATGTGAAAAGCATGCAGAAAGGTGCTTTATCCATTTAACCCTACAAAGTTTTGTTTTTCCTGTTACTATGTTACGCAGTAGTCTGTAGCGAAGAAAATGGCCTCCAGTCTGTGCGGTTATTTCGGTAAAACCGTAAATCTAATGGACCTTGGTGGCAACAGGTTGACCATAAAAGGATATTGTTCCACCACTTCTCCCACCAGCGGAAGTGACAAGAATTTCGTTCCATCCGGGTCACTTTTCATAATTAGATCATACAGATTATCTCCTTCGACTTCATCCACAAATGCGTTGGCATGGTACTGGGCTTGTTCTGCACGGTAGGCGCATATTTCTTCGTATTCTTCTTCCTCCCTCATCTTTTCGTTCATTTGATCCACAGTGATCTGATACTGCATGTAGGCAGCGTGACGCTATTTGAGCACAAGTAAGAGGAATTTGTACATTAGGGAAAGATCATTGATGCAAAGTTAGCTTCTGTGCATAAAAGCTTCAAACTCTAGGGATTCGAGTGAATTCGATGTTTAATTACCAAAGGGGCAAAAATGCTATTTAGTTTCAGATTCCGCTCGTGAACCATAAGGGTAGCTGGGTACAAATCTCATTTGCCTGATGCACGTTGTCGTTTATTAATGAACCACCCCCAACCACAGTTCAAATTTACCGGCATACAAATCTCTATAGTATTGGATACTTAGACAAAGCAAACTATTCGCCAGTGTAGGTACTTTGTTCTTCTTCGACTACAGACTATTTTGAATAACAGTATGCCTCTGTGGCTAATAATCGGTTTACGCTACCTTAGAGTAAAATGCCGCGTCAGTTAGGCTGCTTGTATCTATGTCTCTTAATCTGTCCTTGATAGAATTATGAATGCAATTCCATGTCTCGCTCAAAAACTAAAGATAGATGACTGATAATAAGTAAGAGAAATCTCTAAGCTTCTGTTCCATACTTTTAGGACGCATTTCTTTCTCTCATAAACATTTCGTTCTCCGGGGCGACAGTTTACGACCGCTTTTCGTCAACAGTACCCGGGATATTAGACTCTAAGTAACACATGGCTAGTAGTGTGTGAAAGGAAAAATTGGTTCCAGGAGATACGTGAATGTGCAGTGCTTATTGTTAGTTCATAGAAGCTGTCAAAGCACACTTTTGATCCCAGTACACTCATTTCGAGCTAGCTGGCTCAACAGTCTGTGACGTAGATCAAGCCGTTCGTTGCCACCCATCACAACATGTCATTCAGGTGCACCAGCTGGGTGGACAGTATTTCACTTGCATAATTCGATCAGGTTGAATGTATTTATAAGTATGAGATGCCTACTTCTTGCCATGATGTATCTCTCGTTCGTCCATACATAATACATGGTTTGGTCTTTTCCAGGACAACACACAGAGCTCCATCTACTACAGTATTCATGAACAACTTTCTCTGATTCACTTACTGTGTACAAGCTGTGAATTCTGTCCGTCTAGATGTCACACCCTGGGCGTATTATCACTGAGCGTTATAGATAACACGCTCAAACAAATCTCACAAGAGATTCAAACATCAGGCATCAAAGCTGCAACTAGTGAACTTAACGGTCCGCAAATGTATTTAATCGACGTATATCTATGGGAAACAGAGCTAGTAGCGGGGCTGATTAGAAAAAGTGGCGCTCGTACCAAAAATGTATAAAAGTTGCTTCTAGATAGGCTTTTTATTAAAATTAGGTAAGTTTGAGTTCATATGCATCAAAACGTTCTTTACCTGGAGACTGAATAGAATCCCTCGAAGCCAAAAGCACATTAATAATCTTTCGCTGCAAAATGTGCAGCACACAGATGCCTCAAGTTCCCATTATGACTATATGCCCCATACTCCGTATTTCAGAATCCAAAGAAAATTCATTGAATATATTTGCAACGGAACCTTAAAGTAGCTTCTGTGCCTCACATCATGAGAAAGAATTTCAGTGTTCTAAAGATTAGGAAATACTCCATAGAATTCCTAGCTTCAGCAATTTCTTCATGCACGTGGTTTCGGGGGTTTCTTAGCCAAGCTTTTTTTATTAACTTTCACTTTTCGAGACATCACATGGATCATTCAACTGCACTTCAACGCTGAATTACCGGAAGGTTCAAAGTATATGCTGTGAGATATAACCAAGTAGCTGTCTATGGTGTATATTCGTTGACTGCCTATCCCTTGCTTAAATCCTCAGAGAACTCGAGGAGATCTAAAAAGTGGCTCTTGTGAAAGTTTTAAGTTTAGCTTGAGTTGTGTGACAGCTGTTTGAAATTATGTTTTAGATTGTTGTTGGAAGATTAGGTCACAAAAGTGCAGGCCCAAAACAAAGCTGAACTTGATTAATCGGTTTAGTTGGTTTGATTTTAATGCTGCATATGGAACGCTTGGGTCACTTACTCTTGAAAGGGGGAGAGGTCAGAGAGAACAGTTTAAGGGCTCTACAAAATACGGAAGGAGGTGATGCTTTGCAATAGAAAAAACATTTCTCAGCTACACGATAAACCAATATACAGTTTACGCCTCCAAAAACCTGGTTCGAAAACTGTTTCTCGTCTTAGGTAGCCGTTAACAGCGTCGGTTTTTGATTACTTACTGCCTCTTCTCCAATTCTTTGATAGTCTAAATATTCGAGCTGAGCAAGGAAAGCGCAAATGTACGGACGGTAATTTGCATCACTTGTCAATGGATTTTCCTCCAAAGTGAGTGATCGCAGTCCTCGAAACTTCCGTAAGTAGACCGTCTAACAAGGGCTGGATGTCCAATATGAATAGACATACGTTTTCCAAATCGTCCAATAAGTTTCGTCCCAACGACAAATACTTCAGTTTCTTCAGATTATCCAGCCCTTCAATTACTTTAATTTGATTGTTAAACAGGCTAATATCTTCCAAGTTGTGAAGATTCTCCAGATTCTCAATTTTCTCAATGCGGTTGAAAGACAGATCTGTCCGGAAAGGAAAAAATTGGTAATCTCGTTAGTTGAGGGACGAACGTCGGTCCATCATGTCCAATTATTGTGATAAACACATTCCTTCCGTAGGTGGATAGTAGGACACTGGGTGGTGGTTATATATGCTGCATTTCCTAGCCAGAGATTCGGCGGAATTTTTAACTTCGGACACTGGTCACTTCAGTGGGATTACTGCTAAAGCGCGGCAGGCGATTCCCCCGCCAGTTCACCCATTCACTTGCTGGGCACAATATTTGTGGTACTTACAAATGAACAGTAGTTTAAAAATAATTACTGTTAACAAAACGGTAAATTTTATCGCCCCTAGATTGAACTTACCTAACCAAGTCAGGTTGGTGAGGCCATCCAAGTTTTCAATTTTCTCGATGATATTATTGTCCAGTTGCAGTCTAGTCAGGTTAGTGAAGGCATCCAGGTTGCTTATCTTGAATATATCTTCACGGGAAAGAGATGGAAAAAACTGTATCCACAAGTTTTACGAAATACAATAGATGAAGAATATATCGCTCGCTACTGGTTCTCAAAATATAGGCCCGTAATCCATACTCACGATACATTCTCAATACCTAAGGTGTAAAGCCGAAAAGTTTTCGAAAAAACTGGTAGTTTTAGATAATTTTATATTAAAAAACTGCCCGGAAAACCCCTAAGAACACAGCTCACTCCTCTAGAGATTACACGATAGCACTCCCGGTCAGGCGTGATTTGCGGTGCGACCGCCTCCTCAAAAACCGCATTGTTTCTTTCAAAAGCTACATTCTGTATGATTCGCAAGCCAGATTATTTTGGTCATCTGAAATGCGTTTACGTTAAGTACTTATTTTCAGAGTCCTCAACGCACTGGTAACGACAGTTTGTTTGACATTTTCGTGGAGCAGAGATAGTTTAAATGTCTGTCTTCTAAGGTGTGATGTGCATTTATCGTTTGCATTGTGTAGAGTGTTGCTAAGAAAAGTGAACTGTATCAATCTTGAACCTTATGCCTGTGAACTTACTAGGTGAGTAGTTCCATCAATTGCGGTGGTCTGCCAACTGGACTGAGAAAACCAGAGCAGCAAATGCTGCCTGAAAGACTCGTGATGAAGGCTTAACATCAGCTTATATGTCAGGGAGTTACAATGCTGCCGTGTGCCCCGTATCGCTACTTTGGTTGGAAACCTCACCGCTACCTTTCGGTGTTTAACCATCAATCTTTTTTAAGCTTTAAGCAAGTCTGATGCAAACACCTGATCAGTAATACGTCCAAAGATCTTCAGAAAAAGTAAGCCACCAATAACAGACGAACTGATTATACTCAAAGGCCTGCGCTAGCTTGCTCGTGCTCTGTGTGTCTGTCTACCAACTTCCTCCCGAAGCCATTTTTGGTACAACTATGATGGCAGTGGAAGCGACACTAGGACGTCGTAGTTTTGGCTGTGACTTATTAAAGAATAACCTGTCATCTCACAAGATGCTCCAGAAGATGTCAGCATTTCCCAAGTGCCCTTTTTTTCTAATGTCGACAAACCATTTTTCTGAATCGTCAACTCCCTTCTTGTCATGAAAGTTCCTCAACCCCTACTGACAACCTGTACTCCAAGTGTGCCTATGAGTATTGGCATCTAACGTCAGCTGAGTTAGAATTGTTTGGATATTCCGCATAACTAAATCATCCTTAGTTAGAACAGCAAATGTGCTTCACCGAATATGTAATCTTCGCGTTCTTTCGCGTTGCGAGACGCTTGGCCGTTTTTCAGATTGTTCATATTAGTTGCATCGTTGATAGGCAGCTTTCTGAAAACAACACAGTTTCCCCCTTTGCTCCCATTTTAAAAACAGGTACTATTCGCACGAAATTCAGATCTGGCACAATCTGCACCAAGTGCTATGTTGCAGATCAGGAGCTTAGCAAATAACTCAGTGAAATTTACCATCGACCTGAACCCTAAAGTGTCATTCAAAACCTAGTTCAACTGTTTGCTTAGGAGCGAAAGATGACAAGGAACAATAGAATTTAGAAAACGATGCAAATAACTTGAAACTAGCCTCTGTCAAAGGCAGATGTGGACACTTCAACCCGAAGTCTAGACTGACTAACTGAAGTACAGGTTTATGTATTGTGATGTGAATTATTGATGTACAAATATGAAAACCTCTGGGTAGGAATAATGAAACACCTTAATTTAAGTTAGAAAACTGCGGTCAGTGAGTACTTTGCACCAATGGACGAAGCACAAAGCTGCGGTCCTGAGAAATGTAGTCATCTAGAAAACCAGCAAACTAAGTGTTCACATGAGTACTGCAAATAGTATTCACGGAATTCACTGGCTTGTTTGCAGAACGAGTGCATGATGCTAATTTGCTATGGTGAACATTTAATGGGGAAGTTGAAGAACGTCTGGAGTAATCAGCTAGGTGAATCAGAGACAAACCTAGCAATAGTTGCTTTGCTTGGGGTCTATCAAGAGATCCTCCGAAAGTTCAGTGCTTATCTGTTGGTTACTTAGCCTCTTGCTCAGTTAATTGCTACCAAGAATAACGTTTAATGTGGTATCCCCAATGTACTCCATTTTGGTCGGCACATATATAAAATATTTTGAATGGAGTACATTATCCGGATCCAAATGTGTACCAAAGGTAGTTTGGTGTTACGTAGATGACAAGTTTGGCGTGATCAGGTGTGATAGAACCAACGAACCAATATGTAGATGTTATGAATCCTTAAGGAGTTAAACTTTAATTCAGCCGTAATAAACTTATTTAACTGTATGACATATAAGAGTGGTTCGTTTGAAAACTACGACTTTGTCTTGGCTTCTCCTTTAGTTCTGCTTGAAGCCTGTTTAGGTCATCCAAATGAATCTCGTTGCACGCAACTTTGTCATTTTGCCTCAGGTGAGTCGTCACACGGAATATTTTCGGAGTTAATTTTGTTACCAACAAGCTGTAAGGTTCCACACACGTCCCTTGACCACAGGCCGATTAATCTTGTTTTTTATAGCTCACCAATTGTTGGTTAAAAGATGAAACTTGATAATTAGCATTGGGTTCCGGCTGTAAGTTCCATCATCTAGGTATGCATTTGCAATTACCTAACAGTTTATATTTGCAAGGTATGCAGTAGGCTTTTTTCTTAGCAAACCACTTGGCATGCAAAGTGCCGCAACTCAAAGCTGAAAAAATACGTAGCAAAATGAATTACTCTGAAAATTTAACCCAAGTTCTCCCACGGAGCTGAACTCAATTCCCTCTACGCGTGCAATTCTTCCGGCCTCTTCTTTCGGACCTTGTGAATACACTGCCGCACGCAGCAAAGTATCGGTGATGACTGTTGGTTCTGTTGTGCCCCATAATCGCTGAATACCTAAATATAAGAAACGGTAACAAGCGTAAAATCAGCTGCCAGGAAGTTTACTCATCACTACTTAGTTTTTCTTCCAGTGCAACCGTCACCACTACCACTACCACTACTACTAATATTATCATTTATTTTTTAACGGCATGATCATCATGAACACTAAATATAGAAGAATATACAAGGGAACACCCGAAAAAAGTGGAAGGCGTTTTATTCGAAGGCATAACATCATCTTCATCATCACCGTCATCATCGTCGTCATCATTATCATCAACAGCAGTAGAAGCGCAAGCAACTCAACAATCATCACGGTCATGACATTCATCATCACTGTCACCATATCTCCATCATCAAGGTCCTCGTCAGCATAAACATCAACATCAGTAATACATGGCCTCCAAATGGCTGCTTAATTTTTTTCTGAAGTACCTCCGCTTCCATCTGCTTGCGATTTGTTGGAGAGAGGTCAGACAAGCCAGTTAAGTAACTCAAAGCGCTGATTAACAACAGTTTATTTGGATAGGCAAAAAATAAAACAAACTTCACAAACTCACGTGTTCCTTGGAAGATTTCAAAGTTCGGAATTGACTGTTCAACAGCTGTAATATTTCAAACGAATACCATTTGACGTCCATTGAAGCCCACATCATGTATAATGTAAATTCGAACTATATCGTGATGGTTGGCACAAGTCCTACTTTGCAAAAGATTCGGAGTACAAAGCGACAAAGAGTTATCTGTATGCATTTTTCTGCAAGGATTCGGCACAGTTTCCGGTTGTGGACAACGTAGCCGCAAGAACTTGCCAGGGGACGCCTTTATAGCGGTCAGTTTATGCATAAGTCACTGTGAAATTCAGGACCAAAATTTTTGAAAATTAACGTTTTTGCGATCTCTTCTACTGACCAATTCAGACTGAGGGATTACAAAACTAAAATCGAGTGATCCATATAAGAAAAACGAGTTTAGAGTGGAGTATTCGGGTGGAAGTATGGAAATTGTTTACGTCACGTCAAACGGCCTGAGTGGACGGTGGTTAAATGAGGGGACCGTTGAATGCTCGGTAAGCGTGCAAACTATTTTCTGAGTGCACAGAGTCGAGTTTCGTAAGCTAATTGCTGTTGGCTCAAGTGTGGCAGGACAGAACACAAAAAGTGTTTTTTGGAATTAATTAGTCGATTATGTATCCCTGCAGCTGTCTTTCATTCAGCCCGCTTATTTTGCACCTCAGTCTGTTAGTCTAAGTTGATCAGGTAGAAATATTCCTTTCTACCTTGAAGTTCCTTCTGGCTCGGGACTAGATAAGCTTCCATTTGTGTTGATAGCGCACTTAAACTGACCGCTTCAAGCATAGGAGGTACAGATTTCAAGTAAATCGTAATACGTCCACTGGCTTCCTTTATATTGTGGCAACTGAGATGCAAGTCCGAGAGCATCAAGCGGAAGGTACTCTGACCACATCTTTAGGTTGATACAAGGGTCTAAACAGCATCACATGCACTACTAACCAATAGCCTATGGTTACTTCAACTTTAAAAATGCCTTTGTCCCTGGATAGATTAGCTCTTCTGTATTATTCGTCAGGACGGAATGCTCTAATTATATAATAACAAATTCAGGAACTTGCACAGTGCACACCTGATGATTTTTCCGAAGAGGTGTTATAACAAATTAGTGTACGGAATATCCGTACTGAGACGTGACAAGGCACCAGGACCGATCTCCATCCAGCCCTTTTCAAAGAAGGCGGAAAAGACTTGGCGACCCATCTGACAAAGATTATTGGTGCTATATGGGACGAAGAAAAAGTGCCTGCAGAATGAAGCAGGCACTATATTCAGAAAGGGTACGCGGACGCTATGTGGAAACCGCCATCAGCCTGTTAGCTGCTCTCTGGCCTTATCCTTCGAAGGTTGGCTGAACACAGGGAGAGACGGATCCGTGAAAACCAAGCTGGGCTACGTTTTTCAAGACGATGCATCGATCACATCTTTACACTCGACAGATTCTGGAACAGTGAGACTGCTTCCAGCAACCAACAACAATGTGTTTCTTGATCTGAAAGCTGCCTTTGACTCTGTGAACCGTCAATCACTATGGAATCGTTTGTGTAGCGAAGGTTCCCCCATAAGTTCTTGATCTCCTTGAGACGCTATTCACGAACTCCCTCGACCGTGGAACAGTCTACGGGAATCTCTCTTCTAAGTTCACCACATCAAGTGGTGTCAGATAGGGTTGTCCTCTTTCACATTTCCTCTTCAACTTCGTCACTGATGCGATCACGGAGGAATCACTACCAGCCTCTAATGCCTGTGGGGTCGAATTGCGACGTCCGCTCACAAATATCGAGTACGCAGACGACACAGCTCCACTTGGGTCTGGCCCCGTGGTAATGCAAACAATATTAAATTAATGCGCTCCACGCTGGAAAAGTGTAAAGTGCTACTGCAAGACCGAGCAGCTATATCACTCCCGGTGGTCCCGCGAAATATTAAATCTCCATTCGCATCGGAAGGGCCAGAGCAGCTTTTGTGAACCTGCGTCACCTGTGGTGTAGGCGTGACATCAGCTTATCCGTCAAGGGTCAAATTACAATGTTGCGATGCGCTCCATATTACTATACGGATCAGAAATCTGTCGCTGTGCGCTGAGGACGCCAAAAAACTCTCGATGTTTGACTATCGATGTCTTCGGAGGATTACCCGGGTCTGGTGAGAACGCCGGATGCTGAAGTACGTCTAATGGTATTCGGAAGAAATAACTCACTCTCGATAGATGTACAGGTGATCACAGTGCATAGGTTGCGCTGGCTTGGCCACGTGCGGTGTTTGCCAGTCGACTGACTTCCTCGAAGAGTTCTTTTCGGACAACCAGGCGAAGGGTGGAAGAGTGCAAGAGGAGGTCAAACAGTGACCTGGCGGCGAAGTATAAAAGCCATTACCATCAAACTCAACTGCGCTGGTTATTACCGTATTCCTGGATGGGGACTTCGAGACGGGCCACGCCAATCGTTAGAGACATCGTCAGATAAGACCCAGTCGAACCTTCAGTGGCGCTCATGCCGTAAATGCATAGCTCCCTTCCAAATCCCCCCTTGACAGTCCACTGGCAGTCCTGTATTTACGCACCAGTTTATTGGCTCCCATCTCCAGTGCGCATCTACCTACTCCACCTCCCCAAATCATCGGTGAACGAAACTGTGGCGGCAACAACCACTGTACGACAAGTACGCGGTCCTTACGGCTGACAACGCTGCTGCTTCTGCTGCTGCTGATGATGATGATGTTGATGATTATGATGATGATGATGACGATGATGATGATGATAATGATGATGATGATGATGATGATGATGATGATGATGGTGTACTCATTGCCTCACTTAGATGCATGTGAATACTTGGTGGTTTTCGTAGCAGGTTTGCTTTTGTGTTGTTTATAAGATTTCACCACTGGACTGTTGAAGTTAGATGGGATATGCCAATCCAGTGCTATCGAGTTAGACTATGATAGGTTCCATTGCAAGTCTATAAGTACGTCAATCCACTTTAAAGTTGGTCCGATAACATCTGTCATCATGAGGTAAGATTACCGCAAAGATTTCACCGCGTTTTGAGATTACTATAAAGCTAGCTTTTTTATTTTCCCTATACTGAGTTTCTTTTAGTCTGTTCAGTAATAGTGATATTAAGTCAGGTGGTGAGATCATGTCACATTTCGTACAATCCTACTACCGAAATTTGCGTGAAAGGGATTAGTTCCATCTTATCCATCCCACTTTGATGCAGCGAAGTTTATTTCGTAAAGTTGAATAACTTACCTGCGGGATCAATTGTCTGAGTTGTTTGTGGGTCACTTACAGTGGACGAAAACGGTCGATCAAGTCTGGAATTATTTAGAGAATGACTCCAGATTACACAATGCACTTCATGGCTTGCAGCCTTCGTCTAGGCTGCAGATGATTTCGTGTCGTAATTATTCGTCGTCAGAATACATTCGACAGGTAAGCAGAACAAATCTGACCAACGCATGAACGAGCAAGTGTGTGCAAAGTCCTCTACTGTTTAGCCTTGGCTGACAGATGGCTTAAATGACGCTAGTAATTTCGTTTGCAGCAGAGCGGACTGCTCATATGGGTCAGATCACCTATTTTTGGGGCGAGAATTTTCTTATCATCTCATCCAGAATTATTCCCATTCACATCTACAGTCGTAGTTTAGGAGACTTATACCATCCTTATTGCTCCGACATCTCTGTGTCAAATTTAAACTTGTGTAGTAGAAAATCAAACAAACAGCAGAAATTGTTTGACCTGCATTGGGCTTACTTCATCGGCACTCTTGCAGCTCGGATGAAACAGTTTCAAGCGTGCACAGAATCACATCCGTTTCGATAGTTTTCCAACCCCACCTTAATTTGGATCTTTAGACCAGCCGTTTCGAAATAATCGGCCAACTATGGAATTAACCGTCTGTCCACCGTGGCACATTGATTTACTGGAATGCGGCATAGATTTTTAGAGTAAATCATCCTCGCTGGAAACGCGCTGTATCCGTAATCACTTCTTTCAAAATGCCACTTTCAGAAGAGTACTGTTCGTCCGAACTTGTTGCCGAAAAAAGTTAGAGTACAGTAATAGTTCGCGCTTGTTTTGCATTAATTTGAAGTAATGTCTCGGAAAGTACAAGGAAGAGTTGTAGTACGGTATGAGTTACCTTTGTCAGGTAGTTATTATGGGCTTAAAGACACTCACTTTTAGCAGAGATAGGTCTCGGCTCCACGTTCATTACACTTATAAACAAATCCGAATCTCTGCGATGCAAGGTTAATTCTGATTGGTCGTGCAACAAATGGTGACGATATTTCAGGTCACGGGATAATATTTAAACGCCAGATCAATAGGCCGGATGGATTTCACTTTAGATGCACAGTAGATTTACCAAACTGGAGAATTGCTGTAAATTGTACTCCTGATGAGTGGCAATATAATGTATAGGTTTCCGAGAGTAATTTTAGTGGGGCTGATTTCAGTTTTTCGGCATTATATTCCGGAGGAGTTTAGCTTGTGTCTTTAGTTTTCTTTCTGATATCTTTCAAGCCACTGCGAGCCTGGTACATGAGTATTACATACAGAACACGGCTCTTGTTTTTTGCACTACTGCGCCCAACTGACAAAACTCGTTTGAATCAGTAATTTACTTAGCCACTTATAATCGTTAGCATTCTCTCTACTCTGGCAACTAAATTACATAGATTGCATCTTTTATACAACTCATATTCAGAATTCTGTCAGCTAGTCAGAAAAAATCGACAGTTTGGTTGACGAGTGATGATCTGTGGAGCCACTGATCCATTTGCAGAGACTGGTTGAAAATAACAGGTAAAAACATTAACTGAGCTTCAGATTCTACTCTGTTAGGATAGGGTCACACATTTTCATATTGGAGTAAATATTTGGTGCGTTCAGTGAAATGCAGTGTAGACTGGTAGTAAAATATCCCAAAGGTAAATAAACGGCAAACTCGGGATAGGACAAAACCTGATGATGGCTTCATGATGTTCTCAAACACTGCTATCAATATTCGAGCACTTCGGAAATTGATACAGTGATAGAGCAAAGGAGTAGTCCAATGATCTTGAGTAAATTAAGGTTGCCACACATTTTGCGCTTGAACCTTCGCTCAACTGAGCGTGTCGTAGTTGTATTGTTGAAGATGTTCTGATTCAGGAAAAAATTTTAGCTGAGGTCTTCTTAGTGCCTGCCTCAGTGGTTTTAATTGAGACATATCGAAAGTGGTCTTCCGCCAGAATTCACAGATAGCTGCATAATTTAAGTTTATTTTACTGTCCGCCTGTGTCACTAACGGAGAGTAGGTCTAAATGACATCAATCCTAAATTTCGGGATTTCAAAAAGCCCACATTGTGAGGTGGATAAACCGTTTCACAACATAATTTATCTACTAATTATGTGCGAGTAGTTTAGAGCTTCCGCAGTAGTGAGAACTCGTGCAAGCTCCGTGATTTGGTAGCCGATCAAAAGCGACGCCAGTAAACACAAAATTAGAGTAACACAAGATCATAAATTGTAACTCCAGGGATCTTTTAGGTGTGCGAAGATTACAGAATATACATGAGGACATTTAGATAGGATGATATTTTAGGGCAGCTCACCGTGACTCCTTTCTAATGAAACACTCGATGACTCTAACACAGCAGTTTTCACTAGAACAATCAGAAAGATTTTGGATAATAAACCAAAACGATAGCTTACACACCAAAGAACCAATGTTTGGTATCGAGTTTAATCTTATCTTGACAGCTGTGTTATCCTGAAAGGCTAATAACTCGTAAAGCGCACACGAATGCTGTTGTACTGCCCAACGCGCGTCCTTCATCTAAGGTTATTACGTGCTGAGATGTTCAGATTCGGAAGGATAATTATATATCTGAGGCCAAATTTGTTATCCATGGGCTCCTTTTTTCTCATTTTTTGGTTTCCTATGTGACCAGTCGGACCAACATGTGCTTTTACAGCGAAAAAAATTAATTTCTGGAATAAAAGTTTAACTTAGCATCGCGCTGTAGAGCAGCTGCTTTCTTTGTCCGTAATACCAGATCATTGTGCTCATAAGACGACTATCTAACGTGAGTACTTTGATTTCTGTTATATACGGCGCCATAGAACATTATAATGCTTTATCAGGGCAACGAATGTCTTGGGTCCGAAACATGAGCTAAACGTTCTGTACTTTTCGAACCTAGGTTTATAAATCCACATTGTATCTTTCCGTGATAAAATTCGCCTGAATAAGCTAAATTAACGGACTGGCATGCTGTTCAGGAGAACAACTGAAATAATGAGAAAGCGTAATGCGCATTCTTCAAAACTCCATCTCTGTAGACTGCCTGAATTGTGACTGATGGTAAAACACACAACATGGAAGTGCCTAAAAGCGTTTTCGTGAGGTGTGCTATGATGGTTTTGTATGTGGTCATGGCAGAAAATAATGAGTCATGTTGATATGTGGGGCCAAATTTAGCTATTAAGCCTAATCAAAACAGCCTCTTTAGGTAAAATAGAAGGATTTACACCGGCTACTCACCTTAAGTTTCTGCAAAATTGACTATGTTGTGCATTTTGACGGTTGAACATACCACTGGATGATGCTATTCCCACCAATCTTAACCGCGTTATTCAACACTTGGAATTGTGCTTTAGACTTCTATAGAGGTGTGTTTAGACAAGAATAACAACATCTACAACTGTACACATGAAACTCAAGAGGCTACTCGAGTAATGCTCTGGTACTGTGATGCTAACTAAGCGGTAGCGCAGGTAACGATATTGAAAAATCAGCAGCCATCAAATGAAGGCTCTCGTTTGAAGTTTGAACTGATCCACTCGGCTACGATCAGAAAATATTAAAAAATTAACTGCGCTTTTATTTCAGCTCTGGCAAATGATCTGTAGTGTTCATTATGTGGGCGAATTGATTCCTGGAATCTACCACAACAGATATCAGTATTAGTACCAACTTTCCTGAAGGCTCAGTAAATAATCTCCCGTATATCGTGCTTCATTCTATCCAGCTGTTATGGACAACCTAGTATTACCCGTTTGCTTTAGTCAACACATCAGACAGGAGCTAGGAGCAGACGAACACGTTATTAGTGTTTCTTGTAGAACTTCATCAGAAAATATAATCGACACTTATCTAATCATTTATCAAGGACCTTAAGAATGGTGAACTGAGTATAGCATATTATATGAGTACGTTTCGGTTTCGAACGCTTATTTAGGTTCGGGTAGGAGAATGTACATAATCGAAAACGCAGAAACTTTGCTTCAGTATACCAATCCATGAGTTAGTAATAAAATTTTAACGTTGAGTTGAAACTCGTATTCTGACCACACAGAATAACTGAGGGCTGGAAGTGCGATACTCAGTTTTGTTCGAAAACAGATTAAATATACGACGTTATCCTCTAGGTGCATTGATGAGAGTTAAGTAATCAAATTAAGTGGCCTTGCAACAAGGAATTAACCATTTCTTCACATTTCTTCACATTTCTTCAGTAATGCGCACAATCTGCTCACCCATAACTTCGTAGCACTGCAAATATGCTGACCATAATTTTTTTCTTTTCTGAATGAGAAAATGCAAATTCACTTCCAAAATACCTAAAGAAACCTTGTGCACGGATTCCTTGAAGTAATTTAGTGCGTATACGCACCTCCACTTGTCCTCGCAAAGCTGCACACTAAATTAAAAGCCTCGAGTTCTTAAAAAACAAGTAAATAGTCCATTAACTTTGATCGAGAAATTTAGCAGGAAATTTCGAAACACAAACACGGCTAGAAGGAAACACGTACATACACATATGATCCAGTTGTGCACTAGCCTCATGTTATTTATGATTAAGAAAGAATTTTTACCGTGTGCGAATAAGGCAGTCATGTGTTTGCAAGCTTTTCAACCATGATCCAACTAAGTGACGCTCAAAGTAGCTACCCTAGTCGAGTTCCAGTACTTCCACTCATCCTAGCTCATTTTGCATCTTCAGGCAACCCGAATCTGAGTAGGCAGACCAACACCAACTCTCTATTCTTGCCAGGCCTGTTACTGGTTTGAGAAACCGACCACTTGGGGTTACCACACAGAAATTACGATACACAAAATTGCCGAAAGAGACAATTATCTCTGGTTTGATTTTATTCATCTGCTCGTTAGTGTGTGACGTGAAACTTCGTTTTGCATGGATCGCACATAATAGGAGACCAACCGGGCAATCAGCCTACCGATAGTCGTGGTTATAATTGCTTCTGTGATAAAGAAATGGTTGACCGCCTGAGCACGACTGGCTTGGTTAATTGAGGCAGCTTGTACACAGTGAGATGAAAACTTGATTTCTTTTCTTCTCATGACGCGGACTGAAAACGAGCACAAACGGCTTGCGCCAGAGAGAAAAAAGCATGCACCCGCGAAACCTTACAAGACATGCGATATAAGATCAGTTGTTCTAAGGTGACTGACTCCGACTTACTAGTACAGAAATGAATGGTCTAGAGCCGTGCTTTCAGCTTTACTACACCCTATCAAACGGTAGGACACAAACAGCGGTAAAAATTGTTAAACATATTATAACGCCTACGAACTATTCAGAAGTGGACCACTACCTGATATCACTAAAACCCGCCGAGTTAAATGATTGAACGCTGTTCCGCACAAGGAATATTTCGCCACCAAACTTGCACACCAATACCGACGCCGGCAATCACCTCGTTGTCAAAATCCTTTGGTCACTTAAAGCACCATGTGTCTACATGAAAGTCCGTCGTTGCAATTATGACCACGAGGCCCACGAGTTGATTGAACTGTAAAAAGTTGGTATGGTAGTAGTTCAAACAATTCCCGTAAATTCTGCGTAAGAGGAAAGGTGAAAAGACATGACCAGATTCATATGACGTAGTGGCCCAATTAAGCTAGAAACGGATTCTTTCTTAGGAAAGATCATGGGAGAACAAACGTCGAATAACTTACAGCTTGCGTGCGAAATGGAGTGAAGTCACGAAGTGATGGTAGGTTACCAGGCCTAATAAGTTGACAACACAGACGGATATCAAAGTTAGAAATTCGGCAACCAGAGTCTAGCTAATCATTGAGGCTTATCACTATGTGCAACCAAAGATGAGTGTAAACTTCGGCCAGCCAAGCTTAATCGCTTAGCTTTTTTGCGTTTGCAAATAAAGCAGCCGGTGGCTTTGGACAGATTT